TGGGCTTTGTCCCTGACGCGCCTGGCTGGCAGTTTTACCACCCCACCTCGCGCCGTGTCTTCCCCTCTCAGGACGTCACGTTTGACGAGTCGGTCCCCTTTTACCGTCTCTTCCCCTACCGCACTGCCCCGCTCCCCCCTCCGCCGCTCTTCCTCACGCCAGGTGCTGCTTCGGTAGACCCCCTGCCTCCCCAGGGTCCTGCTCCCTCATCCAAGGTAGACCCGGTCGAGCCTGTCGAGGTAGCTGTCGACTCTGGTTCTGCGCGAGGTACTGAGCGTGCTGAACCTGGTGGTGCTGGGTCTGGGGGTACTGCGACTGGGGGTGCTGAGCCTGGGGGTGCGGAGACTGGGGGTGCTGAGCCTGGGGGTGCTGAGTCTGGAGGTCCTGAGCCTGGGGGTGCTGCGCCTGGGGGCGTTCTCTCTTCCCAGCAGCTGCGTGAGTGGTACTCTCGGTACTGTCGCCGCCGCCGTGGTGCTGTGGGAGCTGGAGGTGCTACTGGAGCTGGAGCTGAGGGCGCTGAGCCTACTGGAGTTGGTGTTGCTGCTGACCCTGGGGCTGGCGCTAGAGGTGCTGGAGCCACTGGTCCTGGAGGTGCTCGTACTGGCGGTACTGGAGTTGCTGGGAATGGGGGTGCTATTGGAGCTGCTGGAGCTGGTCCTGCTGGAGGTGCTGCTGGTGCTGCTGGAGGTACTGGAGCTGCTGGTGGTGCTGAGCGAGTTGGAGATGCTGCTGGAGGTTCTGGTGCTGTCTCTGCTGGTTCTGGGGGCACTTCACGGCCACAGCCGTACTTCGTTCCCCTCCTTCAGCAGGTTCTTGGTCAGCCGCCTCCTCCTTGTCCTGCTCCCTCCTTAGAGTGTCCTCCGCCTGTCCAGTCGCTGTCACAGCTACCGCTTGCCTCGCCACTCCCTGGTCCTTCTCCCTACACTGGTCCGACAGGCGGTCTTACGGAGCGTCGTGAGCCTGAGTCTCGTCCTGTGTCGCCTGAGTCTCGGTCTGCGTCACCTGTTCGTGCTGCTCGCACTGGTCGTCGTGTCCCGCGTCAGCGTCCTCCTGCTGTCCCAGGCACTCACCAGATGGCGCTTTGTTCTTCCACTGCTCCACAGCGTGTCCCGCTGCCTTCTCCTCCTGCGTCCTCTCTTCTTGCCCTTGCTGACCCGGAATCTGACTCTCTTCGTGCTGCTAGTCCTACTGTCACGCGTCTCCTGGCCACTGCTGTCACTGACCCTTCTTTTGAGTCAGCTGCTGCGTCTGCCTTAGTTGCTGAGCTTGTCGACTTTGCTGCTCATTGTCGTCTAGACTACGCTGCGAGTCTTGTTGCTGAGTTTGAGTCTGAGTCTGTCTGTCCTCCGTCCGTCGGGGGTGAGTGTGCTCTTGGCACGGACGTCCTTGAGGACAGGCAGGAGGAGTTTGAGTGCTTTGCCACCGCTGTACCTCATCTCGTGTCCATGCTGATTGCACCTGAGGGAGACCCGGATGCACCAGACATCCCGACCCCGCGCTCTTACGCAGAGGCGATAGAGGGTCCCTACTCCTCTCAGTGGCAGTCAGCCATGGACGCAGAGATGGCATCCTGGAAGTCCACTGGCACTTACGTCGACGAGGTTCCCCCTCCTGGGGCGAACATCGTCAGTGGCATGTGGATTTTCAGGGTGAAACGGCCGCCAGGTTCTCCGCCTGTCTTCAAGGCTCGTTACGTTGCTCGAGGCTTCAGTCAGCGAGAGGGAGTAGACTTCTTCCAGACCTTCTCCCCCACCCCGAAGATGACCACTCTTCGGGTGCTACTGCACGTTGCCGCTCAGCGTGACTACGAGCTTCACTCTCTTGACTCCAGCACTGCTTTCTTGCAGGGCAGCCTGCACGAGGAGATCTGGCTGCGCCGCCCTCCTGGCTTCACTGGGTCGTTCCCTCCTGGTACCTAGTGGAGCCTCCGGCGGCCGGTCTACGGTCTCCGCCAGGCGCCACGTGAGTGGCACGACACACTGAGGACTACACTTGCGGCTCTTGGGTTCGCGCCTTCCACTGCTGACACTGAGGCTCTCGCCCTAGTGAAGTCGGAGCTGCAGAAGAGACACACGTGCACAGACCTGGGTGAACTGCGCAGCTACCTTGGCTTGCAGATGACCCGGGACAGAGCACGCCGCACCATCACATTGACTTAGTCACACATGGTGCAGCAGGTCCTTCAGCGCTTCGGCTTCACCTGGTCCTCGGCACAGGCCACTCCTCTGGCTACAGGTCACTCACTCTCAGCTCCACCTTCGGACGAGTCCGTAGAGCCGAGTGGTCCTTACCCAGAGCTAGTTGGCTGTCTCATGTACCTGATGACTTGCACTCGTCCTGACCTCGCGTACCCTCTTGGCCTTCTGGCTCGCTACGTGGCTCCTGGTCAGCACCAAAAGGTGCACATGGATGCTGCTAAGAGGGTACTGCGCTACTTGTGCAGTACATCAGGCATGGACTCGTGCTTGAAGGGAGGAGCTCAGTTGTCCTCACTGGGCACTCAGACGCTTCTTGGGTTGACGACCAGGCTACGCAGCGGTCGTCACAAGGTTACACCTTCAGCCTTGGCTCTGGTTCAGTTTCTTGGCGTTCTACACGTTCGTCTTCAGTTCTCAGCTCCAGTTGTGAGGCTGAGATCTACGCCACAGCCATGGCTGCACAGGAGTTACGCTGACTCACCTACCTGCTGACTGACTTGGGAGAGCGGCCTCGTTCTCCTCCAGTGCTGTACGTCGACAACAAGGCTACCATTGCCTTGTGTGAGGAGCACAGACTGGAGCACAGAACGAAGCACATCGCTCTGCGTTACTTCCTGGCTCGAGAGTTGCAGCAGCGTGGTCAGCTTCGTCTGCGTTACGTGGCCACTCGGGCCAACACTGCTGATATATTCACCAAGGCACTTCAGTTTGGTGATCATCAGCGTTTCTGCACTATGCTAGGGCTTGTGCCCACTTTTCCTCACTTGCTGTAGGCTTTGCTTGTACTGTGATCTATATATATATATACCTGCATGCTTGCTTTGCTAGGTAGAGATCACTGTGCTGTTTGTGTTGCATATATGCCTCTGCATGTGGACTGGCCTTGTGGCCCTTTGCTTGTGCTCAGAGTGTGTGGTGACGTTGTGATCCACCCTGAGCTTGCTTTGCCTTTCTTGACTGGTCTTGTGACCCCTTGCTCTCCCCCACTTTGCCTATGGGGGTGTGTCAAATGTTATATCTACTATAGTTTGTTTAGGCTGTAGTGGGGTAGTTACTATGGAGTACAGTAAGTTTAGGGTTTCCTACTTGTACCCAACTCTTTCCTAGTGCAATCACTCTTGTTCATTCTGACAACTGTTCCATTTCTGCTTCTTCTGGCAACATCGGCATTCGCCTCTCTGGGTCCCGTCCTGCAGCATGCATGCAGCGTGCTACATGCAATGCGGTGATGGCATCTGCTTGAGTTTGAATGCTTGGGGGAAGGGAAGGAAACAGAGGCGAGAGAGGGTGAATGGGCAGTTAGTGCATGAATCAGGGTGCAAGTAACGGCAGGGCGAGTGTTGAGGCAGACCAGACACGACATGACATGGAGAGAGAGAGAGAGAGAGAGACGAGTTTGGAGAAATTCACCTGAGGCCTGTGAGCTGCTGTGCTTCGAATTGGTTGGGAGTGATGAGCGTCGCCACTGGCACCACCTGCGAGCACAGGAGCATGCCAATCAAGGGCGAATAGAGCTCAGTGAATTATGTAAACATCAAGACATCAGGAACTTGGGTGCTTGGGTGCTTGGGTGCTTAGGTGCTTGGGTGCTTGGGTGATTGGGTGCTTGGGTGCTTGGGTGCTTGGGTGCTTGGGTGCTTGGGTGCTTGGGTGCTTGGGTGCTTGGGTGCTTGGGTGCTTGGGTGCTTGGGTGCTTGGGTGCTTGGGTGCTTGGGTGCTTGGGTGCTTGGGTGCTTGGGTGCTTGGGTGCTTGGGTGCTTGGGTGCTTGGGTGCTTGGGTGCTTGGGTGCTTGGGTGCTTGGGTGCTTGGGTGCTTGGGTGATTGGGTGCTTGGGTGATTGGGTGCTTGGGTGCTTGGGTGCTTGGGTGCTTGGGTGCTTGGGTGCTTGGGTGCTTGGGTGCTTGGGTGCTTGGGTGCTTGGGGGATTGGCCGTGATGAGCGTCACCATTGGCACCACCTGCCAGGCAGCATAGCAGCACGCTGAGCAACAGGGATGAGAGCTCTGCAAGATTTATAGACATCCCAAGATCAGGAACTTGGCAGACTGGTTGATTGAACGTAAGGAGAGTCGCCATTGGCACCACCTGGCAGGCAGGCAGCACCGCAGCACGCTGAGCAACAGGGATGAGAGCTCTGTTTGATATACAGAGAAAGAGAGATTGGGTGCCTGTCAGTATAGATGGCACCTGCTGGCTTGTGAGAAGACTCAGAACTCGCTTGCAAGAGGAGTTGGCACCTGAATGTGAAGTGGCTCTCGAGGGGGCAGGTGTGTAGGTGGCACCTAGTGGATTGGGCAGGTGTGTAGGTGGCACCTGGTGGATTGGGCAAGTGTGTAGGTGGCACCTGGTGGATTGGGCAGGTGTGTAGGTGGCACCTAGTGGATTGGGCAGGTGTGTAGGTGGCACCTAGTGGATTGGGCAGGTGTGTAGGTGGCACCTGGTGGATTGGGCAGGTGTGTAGGTGGCACCTGGTGGATTGGGCAGGTGTGTAGGTGGCACCTGGTGGATTGGGCAGGTGTGTAGGTGGCACCTGGTGGATTGGGCAGGTGTGTAGGTGGCACCTGGTGGATTGGGCAGGTGTGTAGGTGGCACCTGGTGGATTGGGCAGGTGTGTAGGTGGCACCTGGTGGATTGGGCAGGTGTGTAGGTGGCACCTGGTGGATTGGGCAGGTGTGTAGGTGGCACCTGGTGGATTGGGCAGGTGTGTAGGTGGCACCTGGTGGATTGGGCAGGTGTGTTGATGGCACCTGGTGGCGGTAGATGGGGACGAAGTGTGTTTTGAGTCGACTTAAACACACTCTCTCAGAGGGACAGGTGTGGAGTGGATGGCACCTGGTGGCGGTAGATGGGAACGAGCTCGGGGCGAATGTAGAGACGGCCGTCATACCCCATCACTGGATCGCACACTGTGAGTGCGAGGGCAGGGGGGACATGAGGAGAAGGGGGAGAGGGAGGGGGGTGGGGGGAGAGTGGGGGCAGCAAGCCTTACATGAGGAGCCTCAACAGTCAACTCAACGGCTACCATCTCCCATCACTGGACCACACTCTGAGGGGAGGGGAGACATTGGCGGGGGAAGATGGGAGGAAGGGTGAAGAGAGGTGGGGGGGAGCGGTGGCAAGGAGAAGCAGCAATGTAAGACGGCCATCGTCTCCCATCACTGGATCGCACGTTGTGAGGGGAGAGGGGAGATGGAGGGGAGGGGTGGTAGGGGGAGAGCAGGTAGGGGAGAGCAGGTGGGGGAGAGCAGGTAGGGGAGAAGCAGGTAGGGGAGAAGCAGGTAGGGGAGAAGCAGGTAGGGGAGAAGCAGGTAGGGGAGAAGCAGCAATCTAGAGACGGCCGTCATCCCCCATCACTGGATTGTACACCGTGAGAGAGGAGAGGGGAGATGGGGTGGGGAGGTGAGAGGTAGGAGAGGAGGGTAAGGAGAGGTGGCAGGGAGAAGCAGCAATCTAGAGATGGCCGTCGTTCCCTATCACTGGAATGCATGCTGTGACGGGAGAGGAGGGATGGGGGGGAGGGGTGGTGGGGGGTGGTGGGGGGTGGTGGGGGGAGAGTAAGGAGAGGTGGCGAGGAGCAGCAGCAATGTAGAGAAGGCCATCGTCCCCCATCACTGGATCACAATCCGTGAGGGGAGGGAGGAGATGGGGGGGAGATGGGGGAGAGATGGGGAGAGAGGGGAGAAGTGGGTAAGAGAGAGGAGCAGGCAGCAGGCCGTTTTTGCAACCGTCGTCCCCCATCACTAGGTCACACACTGCGAGGAGAAAGGTGGGGAGGGAGGTTGGGTGCAAGGGAGAGGGGAGAGAGGGGGGTGCAGGCAGCAAGCCATCCTTGAGGCGCCACAATGAGTCATCGCCCCCCCATCACTGGGCCGCACACTGTGAGGGGAGGGAGAGTGAGAAGAGGTGGGCCGACCGAGAGGGCAGGCAGCAGCAGGAGGGCAAGGAAAGGTGAAGCAGCAATGAGGGCTGGGAGCAATGTTTCATCTCTTCTATACCTATAATCGGACCAAACCAGCACTGGTTCGAATCCAACCGGGAACCAGCATGCTCACAAAACGGATCGACCAGAACTGGTTCGGGTTGAAGTTGATCGGATTCGGGTTTGAGAGTGAACAAACCGACGTTGGTTCGGTTCGTTGCTCATTCCTTTCCTAGTACCGTTTATCAGGTTAGGGTTCACTTACCGTATACCAGGCCATGGCTAACCCATGAAGCGCATATCACGTCAAGGTTAACCCAGAAAGTACTCTACATTAGGTTGGGGTTGACCCAAAAAATGCCAGACATCAGGTTTGGGTAAACCCAGAAGTTACCATATATTAGGTTCGGATTGATTGATCTTAGCTTCTCCACAACCCTCAGGACAGTTTCCAGGAAGGAGAGCGATCCAATGTAGCCTGGCGGGAGGGAAGAGAGAGGAGAGAGGTTGACTATGGAACAGTGATGGAGATGTGAGGAGGTGATGTTAGGTGCATCAGAGTCAGGTGGGTGTTGATTGATCTTTGCTTTTCCACAACCCTCGGAACAGTTTCCAGGAAGGAGAACGACCAGACGTTGCTTGGTGGGAGGGGAGGGGAGAAAAGGGGAGAGCCAAGGGTAGAGAACAAGAGAGAGGAGGTGATGTGATGGAACCGTGGGTGTGATGTGAGGAGGTCAGTTAGAATAGGCACATCAGCGTGCGCAGTGAGCAGGTGAGTGGAGGATGATGTGTGAAGTTTGGCACAGGAGTGGCAGGTCACTGAAGCGTGTGGAGGATGATCACACTTCAGTGAGCAGGTGCGTGCAGAAACCGACACACCGATGGCATCTAGAAGTAAATGTGAAAGCCGCACGACAATGCACGGAAGGACGAGGAGATGAGAAAGAACGAGGTCATTCGTGAGCAGAGTACGAGCACATAGAAAGGCATCTCATCTCATCTCATCTCATCTCATCTCATCTCATCTCATCTCATCGGGTCGCCACGCCAGCCCCTCTATCAATGCGCACTTACAAGTCATGAGCAACAAGGCACATGGGCGAGGAGTCAAGACACACCCACCCACCCACCAACAAGTGCATCCACCAGTGAGCAGATGCGTGTAGAAGAGCAGCCCCTTGGCCGAGAGCCCCTCTTATGAGTGCAGGTGTGCAGTGCACACATGTGGCACGCCACCGCACCATCAACACATAGTGCCACCGCACCATCAACACACAGTGCCACTGTTCCATCAACACACGTGCACAGTGCACAGCAGGTTCACCCACCAGTGAGCAGGTGCGTGTAGAAGAGCAGACCATTGGCTTCCAGCCCCTCTATCAGCGCCCACAGCTGCTCCCCGTCCAGTATCTGCCCCTTCCACGTGGGGTAGCCTGCACGGGTTTGATGGGGCATGGTGGCAGGCAAGCAGGGAACAGAGGATTGACATGGGTTTACACTGAACACACGGGATGCGTGAATCTCAAGGCACTCGTGTCACAGAGCAGAGACAAGGGCCCGTCTTGCCAGTCTCGCCCCTCTCTCACCCCTCTATCAGCGCCCACAGCTGCTCTCCATCCAGTATCTGCCCCTTCACGTGGGGTACCCTGAAGCAGCACGCATGGGACGCATGGGGTGCGTGGTGAGGTGGGAGGAGTGATGGACCCTGGGGCAGCAGGCACCCAGATGGGATGGACAAGTGCCCGTCCCGCACTAGTGCGGTTTCCACTATATGCACCAGTGCAGTTACCACTATATGCACCAGTGCAGTTACCACTATATGCACCAGTGCGGTTACCACTATATGCACCAGCCACTATATGCACCAGTGCGGTTACCAGTATATGCACCAGTGCAGTTACCACTATATGCACCAGTGCGGTTGCCACTATATGCACCAGTGCGGTTACCAGTATATGCACCAGTGCAGTTACCACTATATGCACCAGTGCGGTTGCCACTATATGCACCAGTGCGGTTACCAACATTCGCACCAGTGCGGTTACCACTATATGCACCAGTGCAGTTACCACTATATGCACCAGTGCGGTTACCACTATATGCACCAGTGCGGTTGCCACTATATGCACCAGTGCGGTTACCACTATATGCACCAGTGCAGTTACCACTATATGCACCAGTGCGGTTGCCACTATATGCACCAGTGCGGTTACCACTATATGCACCAGTGCGGTTGCCACTATATGCACCAGTGCGGTTACCACTATATGCACCAGTGCAGTTACCACTATATGCACCAGTGCGGTTGCCACTATATGCACCAGTGCGGTTACCACTATATGCACCAGTGCAGTTACCACTATATGCACCAGTGCGGTTGCCACTATATGCACCAGTGCGGTTACCAACATTCGCACCAGTGCGGTTACCACTATTCGCACCAGTGCGGTTGGAGAGCTGCACGGAGTCGATTGTATATGTGCCAAACATAATTCTGTTGTAACAACTTGCATACTTGGTTACCACACGCACCAGTGTGGTTGGAGAGCTGCACGGAGTTGAGGGGGTCCACATTGAAGCCCAGCAGCTGCAGGGTGGAAAGGGGGGGTTTACCGTATGCACCAGTACGCGCACCAGTGCAGTTACCACAAAGCACGCCTACCAGTGTGGTTGGAGAGCTGCACGGAGTTGAGGGGGTCCACATCGAAGCCCAGCAGCTGCAGGGGGAACACGGCCGCCTTGTTGCCCACATAGCCCTGGTGCAACAACAGCCAACAGGGTACCGGGGTTTGGGGTTGGAGTTTCTCTTAGTGTTTCTCTTAGTGTTTCTCTTAGTGTTTCTCTTAGTGTTTCTCTTAGTGTTTCTCTTAGTGTTTCTCTTAGCGTTTCTCTTAGTGTTTCTCTTAGCGATTCTCTTAGTGTTTCTCTTAGCGTTTCTCTTAGTGTTTCTCTTAGTGTTTCTCTTAGTGTTTCTCTTGGTGTTTCTCTTAGTGGTGTTTCTGTTAGGTTTTCTGTTCGAACATGAGCATGCCATTCGGATCAGCGCAGCTGCAGGGGGAGCACGGCCGCCTTGTTGCCCACATAGCCCTGGTTGCATGGACCTGAGTACGAACCAGTCTGTCAGGGTGCACAAGGTAACTTCCAGGGTTACAATGTACAAGCAGTCAGAATTTGACAGGATCGAGCACAAGCATTCACAAGTTCACACTAAACGCAGCTGCACATTATCGTACACACGTTCGCATCACCACATACAGGCTCATTTATGCGACCCAGAGACAACGAATAATCCTACTGGTACCTGAGAGGGACACCTGAGAGGGATACCCGAGAGGGACACTTGAAAGGGACATTTGAGAGGGACACCTGAGAGGGATGCGCAAGAGGGACATTTGAAAGGGACACTTAAAAAGGACACCTGAGAGGACACCTGAGAGGACACCTGAGAGGGACACGTGAGAGGGAGACCTGACAGAGGCACTTGAGAGGGGCTCTTGGCCAACAAAGAGCTTATCACGGAGTTGCTTTGGCTGCCATCGGGTTACCTAAGTAACCCAAAAACCCTACCTTGAATAGCTTTCGTTACGCTGGGGTATAATAAAGACGTCGCCTTTCGTGTGTTTCTCAGGCTTACGCGTGATGAATGCTAACTGGAGGCTAGCGGCTGAATGCGACGAATTCCTCCCCGGTCTGCGACTATTAAGCGACGGATACCTGGACGGTGAACGACTGCATGCAATGAATACCTGAACAGTATGCGACTGAATGCTGAGCACGCGACCACCTCCGTGCAGGGCGACGGGTGCGGGGCAAGTTATATATTACGGTACCGTCCTTTCCTTTTCCACTACTGCCCCGTTGAATCATTCATTTATTTCTTTTCTTCCTTTCTTCTTCTTCCTCATCCCTTCGGGTTGTTTACATGACAGGAACATATTATATTTTCTAAGAAACGCCCGCATCAGGTGCCGATGTGTGCGTAAGGGGCGACCACGCCCAAAAACGACGGACAGTAACGAAACGAGAAAGAATAGAGGAGGATGAGTAGCGAGAAGAGGTGCAGCGCAAGGAAGAGGGGGAGGGGCTGTCACGAGACCTGCACTGGGGATCCCTGATTAATCTTAAGGGGGTAACATGCATGTTAGCCTAGGGGGTTATGGACGCACTGACCCGCTGTCAGATTTATATGACATAGCTGCTGTAGGCTGTAGTGGGGTAGCACATATGGGGTACAGTTTTCTAGGGTTTGTACTTGTACCCAACTTTCCCTTAGTCAATCTCATTTCCTCGACATTTCACATGGTATAGAGCGGGTTCCCTCGTGGGAACGCTTCCTAGGGCCCACCAATCGAATTTTTTTTTTTTCCTGCCCGGAACGCGCTTCGCTCCTGCCCGAGTCGCGCCCCGCGTGCCCTCCCTACCGTCGCGCCCTCTCTAGGCCCCTTACGGCCCCTTCGCGTCGCCCTTAGCGGCTCCTCTGACGGCCCTTCCAGCCGCCCTTACGGCCTCTCGTGCCGCCCTTACGGCCCCTCGCGCCGCCCTTCCGGCCCCTCGCGCCGCCCTTACGGCCCCCTACGGCCCGTCGCCGCCCTTCGCGGCCCCTCGAGCCGCCCTTCACGGCCCGTCGCCGCCCTCCGCGGCCACCCGCGGCCCCTTCACGGCCGGTCGCCGCCCTCCGCGGCCCCTCGCGCCGCCCTTCACGGCCCGTCGCCGCCCTCCGCGGCCACTCGCGGCCCCCCCCTTCACGGCCGGTCGCCGCCCTCCGCGGCCCCTCGTGCTGCCCTTCACGGCCCGTCCGCCGCCCTTCGCGGCCTCTCTCGGCCCGCCGTCGCCGCCTCTACAGCAGCAGCAGCTGCAGTCGCTACAGCGGTCGCGGTCGCCGTCCCAGCAGCAGCAGCATCCGCCGCCCCAGCAGCAGCACCCGCCGCCACTGCAACCGCGGCCGCCGCCGTCCCTGCAGGAGCGGCCGCCGCCGCCCCTGCAGCAGCAACTGCCGCCGCCGCTGCAGCAGCGGCCGCCACCGTCCTGTGAGCAGCAGCCGCCGCTGCCCCTGCAGCAGCCGATCCGCCCGAGCCGCCGAACCGCCCGAGCCGCCGAGCCGCCGAGCCGCCCGAGCCGCCGAGCCGCCCGAGCCGCCGAGCCGCCGAACCGCCCGAGCCGCCGAGCCACCCGAGCCGCCGAGTCGCTGAGCTGCCGAGCTGCTGGTGCTGCCGAGCCGACGAGCTGCCGAGCCGTCCGAGCCGCCCTGTCCTCTACCCTCGGTCCGTCTCGCCTGCCCGGTAAGAACAGCACCTCTACTACTGCGCTGCTCTTACCCTACTGCTAGTGCTGCCAGTCTACTGCTGTCATGGCTACCCCCAGTGTCCTCGCTTTTGACGCTGAGGGTCGGGCCATTGACTTTGACATCTGGGTAGATGACCTGCAGCTTTTCCTACAGTGCGATAGGGCAGACGGTCTCTCCCTCTTTGACCTCACTTCTGGTGCCTCTCCTGCCCCCGCTGCTGATGCTGACGCCACTGTTCGCGCACAGTGGGCCACACGCGATGCTGCTGCACGTCTTGCTGTGCGTCGCCACTTGCCTACCTCTGAGCGTGCGCACTTTAGCCAGTACAAGAGTGCTAAGACCTTGTACGACGCTGTAGTTGCACGCTACTCTTCCCCTGCCACTGCTGCACTTAGCCGCCTCATCCTGCCGTACCTCTTCCCTGACCTCGCAGCTTTTCCCACAGTTGCTGACCTCATTACACACCTCCGCACTAGTGACATTCGCTACCGCGCTGCCCTTCCCGCTCTGTTCTGCGCCAAGAACCCCCCCCTATGTACATCACCCTCTACTACATAGTCACCCGCCTCCCTGACACCCTTCGCCCGGTCAGGGACCACTTTCTCTCTGTTTGCCCCACCACCCTCACCGTTGACCTCCTCGAGGAGCGCCTCCTAGCAGCAGAGAAGAGCATAGTCGCTGTAGGAGCCACTCGTGGTGACCCGCGCTCCCCTGTCTTTGAGGGGTGCTCCCCCTCTCCTCTCTTGCCCTCTGTTGCCTCTGCTGCTGCGGCCGACCTCGTTGGTCTTGAGTCGGTTGGTGCGGCGTCTACCCCTAGCGGGAAGCGCCGCCCTGGCAAGGGCAAGGGGGGCAGGGGCGCTGGAGGAGCTAGCGGGGGCGGTGGAGGCAGCGGTGGAGGCGGCGGAGGGGGTGGGGGTGGCGGTGGGGGTGGTGGCGGGGGTGGAGGTGTCGGTGGCGGCAGTGGAGGCGGAGGCGGAGGCGGCGGTGGCGGTGGGAGCGGAGGTGGCGGAGGTGGCGGCGGTGGAGGAGGCGGCGGCGGGTGAGGTGGAGCTGGTCGGGGTGGCACTGCGCAGAGGGTTGGCTCCGGTGGTGGTCAGCGCCAGCAGCAGCAGCAGCAGCAGCAGCAGCGCACTCGGGACATCCCCCCCCCTCAGCAGCTCCGTGAGTGGTACGCTGCACGCCAGCGGGGTTGGGGTACTGGTCCGTGCACCTACGTCCTACGCACCGGCGACCGCGCGGGTGAGCCGTGCGGGGGTGCGCACTCCACCTAGCGCTGCTTTGGCCGCCTGACGGACGCTTGGCGTCACCAGTTCCCTGAGGCCACTGAGATCCCTCGCTGGGGCGAGCTGTCTAGGGCGGGAGTAGCTATCTTTGACCTTGACTTTGATGCTATTCTTGCTGCCATGTATGCTGTGACTATTAGTGATGAGGGTGACTGTTACCGGTGTTTTCCGCCCGACCCGGGCATTGAGACTGCTGCTCTAGGTACTGGTGAGGCTGCTGCTCTAGGTGCTAGCGAGGCTGCTGCTCTAGGTGCTAGTGCGTCTGCTTCCTCAGGTGCTGGTGAGTCTGCTCTCTCAGGTACTGCGTCGGCTTCGGCCTCCCACACCTTCACCCTTGACTCGGGGGCTTCTCGCTCCTTCTTTCGAGACCGCACCACACTCACTCCGCTTAGTCGGCCAGTTGCAGTCTCTCTGGCAGACCCCTCTGGGGGTCCTGTCCTTGCTCACTTCTCCACTGTCCTCCCGTGTCCGGCGGCCCCCTCTGGCACCCTGTCTGGTCTTTACCTCCCCTCGTTCTCTACGAACTTGGTGAGTGGTGCTGACCTACAGGATGCGGGGGTTCACCAGTTCACTCCTGCGAGCCAGCGGGTGACCCACTGCACGGACGCTCGGACAGGCCGACACCTGGCCACGTTTACACGTCGGCCGGGGTCGAGCCTGTACACACTGACCACTGCGTCTCCTCCAGTCACTGCGTCTGGTCAGGTAGTTGCGTCGGGTCAGGTGTTTGCTGCGGCGTCCAGGTCTGGTCCTGAGTCTGCCCCCTGCTCGTGTCGCCTCCTGTCTCACGAGACTCTCCTCTGGCACCACCGCCTTGGTCACCCCTCCCTGCTTCGGCTCCGAGGCATGGCCTCCCGTGTCCTTGTCTCTGGTCTTCCCCGGTCCCTCCCTCCCCTTCCTCCGGGGCCTGCCCCTACCTGCGT